CTTAGAGAAAATTGCGGATCCTTGATCATGGTCCTCAAGCTGATCCAGATAGAGCAGTAAGCAAGGACTGGTTCTGAGCGAAAATAAAGTGCTGTCTCCTAAGTAGGATCTTGGGCTTGAGCTCTAGAAAGGATTATACGACTCTTGTTCCTTTTCTCATCTGGTGGGTAGAGGGAGCTCTTGGCAGATTTTCTAGAATTGCTCAAGGCTCCTTCTTTGTCCTTATAAATTATCAGGCATTAATTCCATAACAGGGAAAAGAGCACTTGGATGCTTCACTCAGGAGGAAATGGTTGCAATAGCAGAGTCTGTGTGTCACGTCAGCCCTTGGCCTGGCTTGCTTTGTGGTAGGGTGTGATTTTCAGGGCTCTCTGTAGGTAAGGGCTTTGGGGGTGGTGTCTTGAGAATCAGAAGTGCCTGTGGCTCTTTTCTTTCCCTTTTTAAACTACATACACGTGCCCATGTCCCTCCATAATTTTGATCCTACTCCACACTTAACATCCTGCCTCCTCCCTCCCAAGTCGTGTCCCTGTGATAAATAATTTTGGGAGCATTACTGTGTGTCTGACCCTTTGAAATGCCTTATACATCTCTCATTTAACCTTCACAACAACCCCATGAGGTAGATATTCTTATAATTTGCATTTTAAAGAAGAATAGCATAGTTCAGTTACTCGTCCACTAGGCTTACACACAAGGAAGCACTAGACTCAGGATAACTGGTGAGCCCAAGTTACTTAAAAACATTTTTTATTTTTTAAATATATTTTTATTGTTGATAGTATTTAAAAAAACATTTTTTAATTAAGATGTAGTCACAATAAGATGCCTAAAACCTTAGGTCTGTATCTTAATAACCGCCTCTTCTCCCCCCTCACCCCCCAGTTGCGGACTTGATCCCAGTAGGGCATACAGGAGGCACCCCCCCCGGCCCCCCACCTTCTGCCTGTGTAACACCTAGATCAAGTTTCTATTGCCCAGCAGGTATCCTTGTGTTCACACCCCATTCATTGCCCATATCCCTTCCCCAAGATGAAATTACTGTTCTGATGTCTGTCAGTGTTTGAACATGATAGAAATGGAATCATGCCCTTTATAGTCTTTTGTGTCCAGCTTCTTTCCCTCATTATTATGTCTATGAGATTCATTCTTCTTGTTGTGTGTAGCAGTATTTGATTCTATTTTATTGTTGTGTGATATTCCATTGTTTAAATATACAACAATTCTTTTATTGATGGATATTAGTTTTTTTGCTGTTGCAAATTTTGGCCATGATGCATAAAACTGAGCATTCTTGAATGTGTCTTTTGGTGGACATATGCACGCATTTCACTTGGGTATATATCTAGAGGTAGAATTGTTAGGTCATAGAGTGGGTGCATGTTTACTTTTGTTTGGTTTGATCAATTTACTCTCCTACCAGCATGTATGAGAATTCCAGTGGCTCTACGTTCTTGTCAGGAGTTGGTATTGATGGTCTTTGAATAAGTTCCATTCAGGAGGGAGTTTGTTGTATTTTATTGTGGTTTTCATTGCATTTCCCTGATGAGTCATCATGTTGATCCCAATTTCTTGTGCTCCTTGGCCATTTGTTTGTCTTTCTTTATGGCCTATTCAAATCTTTTATGTATTTTATTAATTGGGTTGTTCATTTTTTATTTATTTGTTGGCATTCTTTAAATATTCTGGACAATATGAGCCTTACTGGAGATATAAATTACAAATATCTTGCCTTACTCTGTAGTTAGTCTTTTCACTCTCTTAATGGTATCTTTTGATGAATGGAAGTTCTTCATTTTGGTGAAGTACAATTTATCCATATTTTTTGTTATAGTTAGTGCTTTTTGTGTTTTTAAAAACAAAACAAAACTCATTGCCTTTCCATCTCTTGAGCATTTTGAGGCAGAAAAAAAATGTGGAGGGCTACTGCTGTAGAAAAGAAGCCACAGTCAAACTGGACACTAATGGATTCTTGTTTTTTTTTGGATTAGAGCGGTGTTCTGAGCCCTTGTAGTTATGATGCACTCTAGGTTTTACAGGGCCTTTTACCGTTCAATCTCATTTGACCCCGTGCAAGAGTTCATTAAGGTACTTGCAGGAGGGACTAGTCCATTTTGTTCACTTCTCTACTACATGTGGAAAAGAACTTGTGTTTTGATATTTCTTCTTGAAATGAAAACAAACCCTCTTGCCCTAGCCGTTTTGGCTCAGTGGGTACAGCATTGGTCTGTGGACTCAAGGGTACTGGGTTTGATTCTGGTCAAGGGCACATGCCCGGTTGCAGGCTCGATCCCTAGTAGGGAACATGCAGGAGGCAGCCAATCAGTGGTTCTCTCATCATTGATGTTTCTATCTCTCTTCCTCTCCTTTCTTCTTTGAATTCAATAAAAAATACATTTAAAAAAACAAATCTTCTTAAGTTTCCTGGTTACTAAGGCTAAGTGGCTCACCCTTCAGAGCCTCGGAGTTTGTCTGAACTTCCTCTTTGCGGCCCTGGGTGGAAATTTCACACTGTGTGCCATGAAGTTGGTGTGACATTTGCAAGGTCCCTGAGATCTTGGTATGCTAGGCATTGTGGTCTCACTGTTTGCTGGTGAGCACTGAGCAGGAAGTAACTTGGAGAACATTGTCTACGTGACTCCAGTGTGGAGAAGAGGGTGGCTTTGCTCTCCAGGGCAGGGAGAACAGGAAGGAAAAGGTGGGGGTGGGTGGGAAGCCCATGGCATTGGGCTCAGACTGTACATCAGGATCACCTGGGTAGTTGGTTAAAATCCAAGTTTGTAGGCCCCGTCCAGAAGTTCAGATTCAAGAAGGTGGGGTTGGGCTGGGAATCTCCGTTTGAAGGGAATGCCCAATTCTGAAATCAGTGGTCTGGGAACACTTCAAGTAAGACTCGAAGATCAGGTCCAGGGACTTGAGAGTTCTGCGGTGGACAGTAGCTTTGTAGCCTTTTAATTTCAAAGCCTTAATGCTTTGTACTTAGCTGTTTGAAAGATGGAAGGCTATAAGCAATTCACTGTGTCCCCAAACTATAGGGCCATCTCTGTGGAGTGGTGGTTGCCAGCTCTGCAGACACCCAGCAGGTCTGGCACACTGAATGGGCCTTTGGGTATGAGAATGAGAATTTCTGAGAAGAGGAAGGAGACCTCTGACAGGTGCTGGTGGAGAGAGAAGTTATATCTTCTGAGTCATGCTTGTGTTAGGGTGCCAGTACCCATTATGACCTTCATAAGAATGACTCCCCTCTTGGGAATGAGTGTCTGTCCTATCACCTACCTCCCATGCTCAGTGCACCATCTTATCCATCCACTTAATCCACCCACATAGACCCCTGCCCTCCACTCCTCCACCTCCCCACCCATGTGCTCTCTCTCTCTCTCTCTCTCTCTCTCTCTCTCTCTCTCACACACACACACACACACACACACACACACTCATTAACAAACTCACACATTCACACCCTCACACCATTGCACCTCAAATCCCCAACTCATCTATACCTAAATATTCATATCTTTGAAAACTTTTTTCCTTGGGGGAGGTTGGGGAATGATCAATGAAAGAAGAGTATGTGATATTTAAAATATCTTCAACATAAATATGTCTAGCATATTCATTGGAACCATGGAAATAAGCCAGGAGCAGTGATTGTTGTGAGTTGAATGAACAGGCTTCGGTGCTTGTGGGGCCCGGGCCAGTGGTGCTCAGGGCATGGCAGAGCCCCATGTGTCTCACTATTGTGCTTCTCTGTGATCCTCAGCAGTGCTGTGGACTCAGAGGGTAGGTAGCAGGATCTCATTCTTCCACAGAGCACCTCTTCCTCCCGTTTAGGCTTTCTCAGACTTTAAAGATGAAGGTTTATATAAACAATTCTTAACTTTTTGAGGGTTGCAGTCTTCTTTGGCAATCTGATAGTTGGAATTGTTTTTACAGAAAAATATGTAGACATTTAGAGGGGAAAGATGGTTTATGGACTCTCTGGGACTCATCTGTGGATCCTAAGTAAATAACTGCTTTAATGAGCATATACTACTCCCAAGTTCAATTGTATGGCACAAGTCTGTTCGCCTGGAGTGCCATTTGTAGTGGGAACTCCACAAACACCATTGATATTGTGTGCATGCTTTCTGGAGGGTTTGTGCTCAATTTGAAAGAACAAGCAGATTTCAATGAGAGGGTGAAAGAGCAAATGCATGTAAAGACTTTACCATCTGACATGGCAAGTCTTCCCTTAAAAAATACTAGCCATTTGCCTTGGTCAGTGTTGCTAAATGGTTAGAGCATCAGTCAGCGCAGCACACCAAAGGGTCTCGGGTGCAGTTCCCAGTCTATGGCATGTACCTGGGTTGCAGATTCCATTCCCAGCCCAGGTTGGGGCATGTGTGGGAGGCAACCAGTTGATGTCTCCCACATTGATGTTTCTTTCTCTCTCTTTCACTCCCTCTTTTCCTTATATCCTCTCTACAAAAATCAATGGAAAAAATATCCTCCAGTGCGGCGAGGATGAACAAAAACAGCAAAAATACTATAGATTAAATATAAGCATAATTAAAAAGCTGATTACCTCCATAAAAGCTCTCCATGTCAAAAGCAGTTTAGAAGCATTGAACTAGCTATTAGGAGACCCAAATTTCTCCAGCTTGAATATTTTCCCCTTAATCACTCTGTGAAGCATTTTGGAGAACAGGAATGAATAAGATCTCAAGGAACAAACAAGGTCTAAAAGCATCTCTTTACTTCTCCGTGTCCTTCTCTGTGAGTAGAGCCATATCTTCTGTGTTTCTTCCTACCTCCCTGGGCACATGGGCTTATAGAGAGGGATTTAGGACCAGGCCTTTGCTTTCTGAGACTGGAAGATGGCTCAGAAAAGCCAGGAGGTGTGCCTCTCTTCCTTGTTATCTCCAGGGATCTCTCATTCTGTGGCGTGGGGGTGTCTTTAAGTTCATCTTCATCAGGATCTCTCTACCTAGCTTCATATCCTTGTCTTTCTATCTCCGCAGGCCAGGGGTTATCACCATGCAGGCTCTGTCGGAGGAGGACCGGAGGCTCTGGATGGAAGCCATGGATGGCCGGGAGCCTGTAAGTACAATTCAGGGAAGTAGAGCAGGAATAATGGTCCTGAATTGTTTGTTGCTTCCCTAGTGCAGTGTGATTGTTGCTGGTGCTCCAGTGCCTTGGGAGGTCTCGGGACTCATGTACCAGAGGGAGTTTTTCATTCCTTGGCTGATGCTTGTATATGTAGATCTTGCTTCTGTTTGGATGCAGGCCCTGAGCTGCGGCCTCTCTCTCTGAGGTGTGGGTTCTGCATGACACATTACCATAACTCCCCTTCACTGAGACAGTTGTAGCACCCTTAAGGCTCTTAGAGGAGGCAGAGTCCAGTTTGGCTTACTGAATATTTATTGATACCTCCATGAAGTAGGATGCAAAGCATTATTTCAATCCCATTTTAATGGATAAATGATCCTAAGAGTGTATACAGATTGTGCAGTATCTTTTCTCACCCCCTTCTGGTTCAGCCTCCCTTTGCCATAGTAGCCAACATCCCATTATACACAGTGGGATTATCAGGGTCAATGGAAGGGGTTAAGTCAGGTAATGTGATCCATGCTCCCATTTTAGAGATGCTGGCCTCTGCTGGGTGATGAATCTTGTGGTTTTCCTGCATCTTATGACATTTGAGACCCACGAAAAAGCCCTGGGGAAGTCCCTAGAGTCAGGGTAATCTTCTGATCTTGACGCCAGAGATATCAACCCCAGCGTTCAGCAAAATGGCAAGGTTGCAGAAATCCTAAGAGGGCAGTTTAACCATGGCCCACCAGTAAAAGATAGAAAGAGTCCACACTGTCAGAGGGCCAGTAATTATTACTTGCAAAAGCACTATCCAGAGAGGGAAAATGTGTGCAGGGGACATCAGGCCATGGCCTTCACCGACTATAGAACTCTCTGTGTCAAGCTGGGTATCTGGTGTGGGTGATTCCAATTCATTTGTGTGTCTCTTTCTCAGCCTACCCTGGTTAGGTGACCTGTATTGATTAATTGACCTTTCTGCTCAGCTATTTTTTAATACAAATATGGAACTCAGTCCAATCAAGTATGCATAAACAAATAACTAGTATTTGTGTAACATCCACTAATAGCATGATTTAAATAATTATTTAAAAATTTTGGCACAGTGCTAACCTCTAATCAAACATTACTTAACCTGAATTCTTTTCCTGGGCTAAAATATAAGATATTCCTGATTTTCCCTCAATATGTTGTTACGAATAGAAACTCAAAAGCAGATACATGTTTCTGCCTTTAGGGCTTTGTTGGCACAGTAGCTGCTTGATTTCAAAGGCCTTTGAAAGCAGTTTCCTAACTAATCCTTCATCTTTGCTATTATCTACCATTGGATGAGCACTTTTGTGTGTGTGTAAGGCACAGCTTTGGCACATCTCTTAATCCACTTATTTATCTCAGTGCCTTACAAAATAAATATTACGATTCCATTTCACAGATGAGGAAACTGAGGTTAAATCACTTGCCCCAAGTGGTATAGATATAATTGGCTATGTTAGTAGGATACAGGCTAGGTTGCTGTAACAAAGAGACTTTGACGTACAGGGGTTTAAATAAGATAGAAGTTTATTTTACCTTCGGTGTCCAGAAGTGAGCAGTCCGTGCTTGGCTGGGTGGTTCTGCCATCCTCGACCATGGCTTTCAGGTTCCAGTCATTGCCATTTTCCAGCCAGATAATGGAGATGAAAATATCCCGGACTGAGCAGGTACACACATCACTTCCATTGGCCTACACATAATTATATGGCCACATCTATCTGCAAAGAAGGATGGGAAATCTAGACTGTGCATAAGCAGCTATGGGCCCAGCCAGTCCCCAGGGCATCTTATCACTTCAAGGAAAAAGAGCAAGCATACGGTGGGCTGGTTAAAATCTTCACCAGCCCTAACTTGTTTGGCTCAGTGGATAGAGTGTCGGCCTGCGGACTGAAGGGTGTCAAGGTCGATTCCGATCAAGGGCATGTACCTTGGTTGCAGGCACATCCCCAGTAGGGGCTGTGCAGGAGGCAGCTGATCGATGTTTCTAACTCTCTATCTCTCTCCCTTCCTCTCTGTAAAAAAATCAATAAAATATATTAAAAAAAAAAAAAGTATCCACCAAAGTAGCAAAGCTAGAATTTGAATCCATGTCTAGTCCTAGGCATATTTGATTTTCATCTTAATAGAGAGAAATTTTCTCCTAAGAACCCTAAGTTTATTTTTACAATATTTTCTCTGACTCCCTTCAATCATTTTTCAACTTGTAGGGGAGGAAATACCCAGGAAGAAAAATCCTGTCATGGCATACTATTCTTAGCATAGATGGAAAGCCCACTATTATTGGTGGGATTTGTTTGTTTGTTTGCCACCAATAAGCTGACGCTTTAAAACTGCTTTACCAACTCCGTTTTAAGCCTCCCTCACCTCCCTCTTCCCACCAGTTATATTTGTTCTCTGTGTATAATTGGTCCTCTTACTAATCACTCCAGTTTTCCTGTAGATTAACATCTGGCCTCTGCAGATGGAAAGCTGTGCTGTTAAAACATCTCCTTGCTCCAGAATGTACACATTAAAACAAGTTTAAATACAAAATAATGCTGTTTCTAAACATCATATAAAATTATTTTCTCATAGGAGCGTATAGCTTGCATTTAAAACTATACCACTGTGCGTTTTATAGTTCTCCAAAGAGAGAGATAAATACAGACAAATGATGGTTGTGTAATTGGCGGGAATATCAGGCTGAATCTTGTCTCCCATTGCTGAGGGCCTGTAGGGAACATTGCTGGTGACATACGCTCAGTAGACAATTAGAAGCTCCAGTTTGAATCACCATTTCCCCAATTAGTTACTAGTAAATCTGTTCTCTTGGGAGTTTTGGTTTTGGAAAGGGAACAAGCACCTTTTTTTTTTTCTAGTTGGTTTCAGAGTGTTCCCTTATTTAATTCAAGGAGAGGTCAATGGTGGCACCTATCTTTCGTTTTGATACTTACACCCCAGTTGATCTATGGTCTATTATTTAGTGTTGGATTTGGGGGAGGGGGAAATTTAGGTTTTCCATCCTTTTTGTTCTTTCACTGTTCAAGAACAACCCAAGATGGCTGGTTAAAAAAAAAAACCCTCAGTGTACCCCAAATCAGTTGATGTCACCATGTTTTAGCTAATCATTATGTAAAGTATGGTTTTTAGCACTCAGTGACATTCTAGTCTGAAGAAATGTCGAATGTCTTTATGGTATTGATGGATAGATAATGGAGGAAGAAATTAGAGTTGTGTTCCTACAATGAGCATTATGGATTTTATCTGTAATGTCAGTTTGAATTCAAATGATGGAAACCCAATGCAGGCTTGCCTGGGAAAAAGCTGGACGGATAGGCTTACAGAACTGGAAAATATTGGAGCCTAACAGTTCTGGCCCATTGGAATCTGAAAACTTCCGTAATATTTGGAGTTAGTTTCTTCTTTTGTGTTGACTTCATTTCCATTGGGTTCTTTCCATGTACTGGTGATAAACTTCCTAACTCTTCCAGGTGTACATCTTATTATCAAGAACGGGGGTTAGGAAACTCTTTCTGTAAGGGGCCAGATAGTAAATATTTTTGGTTTTGCAGCTACTTAACATTGTTGTAGATCAAAAGCAGTCTTGTATGTAAATGAATGGGTGTGGCTTTGTTTTAATAAAACTTTATTTACAAAAACAGAAAGTCAGATTTCAGTTATGGGCCATTGTTGTTGATCCCTGATCTATAAGTCTAGTGGAAAGAGAACTTATGTAATTACAAGGAAGTCTCTTATTTGAATTTTATTGAATTAAATGTTTGGACTTGAGGGTGGGATAGATGGATTAACCATACCTGACCCACTTGCTCACTGCACTAGAACTGCATAAATGATGGAGAAAGGTTGATTTCCCCTGTGGGAAAAACAAAACATTGCTATACGAGGAAGGGGAGTAGACATTGGGTGGGCAAAAATGACACAGTTTCTCTTTATTCTGAATTTTAAAATAAAATCTAAATTTTATTACATTTCATATTCAAAAGCTTGCTCTTTAATACGTGGCCGAGAGCAAAAGTTATGCAAGTTTACATGAACATCATGTTTAATGCTGAAAAATGGAATGCTTTTCCCCTAAGAATAGGAGCAAAGCAAGGATGTTCATTCAACTCTTATTCCTCATAGTACTGGAAGTCTAGCCAATGCAGTAGAGAAATAAAAAAATAAAATAATGCATACACAAATGTGAATCTATCACTACAAAAACCTCAACAAGCTACCAAGCTACCTAGTCAGATAGAAAGGGTTCTGTTGGAGTTTCTTTACTTTCTATTAAATGTGGATTGACAAGCTATGGAATCACTATCGTAGCCTCACAAGCTTTCGTTTTAATCTTCTGTGGCCATTATCTCAGGCTTGGAAATAGATGACTTCCCATATTAAACTGGACATGGAAACCTTAGTTTAAGGTGCATAAATACTATAGCTGAGAGAAATTTTAGAGATAGCCAATTTTCTCTTGTCAGTTCCCAATAAATAAATTTATCTTCTTTTTCTCTTTGCATATTGCTAGTAAGCATGTTTGCTAAAAGCAAGCAGATTAGAATCCCTACCAGCCCCCTGTAATTGCCAGCTCATACACACCCAACCCGAAGTATTCTCTCTCACGCATTGCATTTCGTTGTCATATCTCTTTAGTTTCATTTAAACTGGGACAGGTTAGAGGTTTGGCTTATTAAAGGAACATTACCATCAGCAGATGTCCAGATAGTCCAAATCCCCCATCAGGACAGCATCCTATCTCTGTTCCCATGTTTGGGTGTATTTGGGGACTGTTGTCCATATCCTCCCTCCACCTGGGTAATAATTCATATATTTCCGCAATCAAATCACTTATGTTTCTCTCTATCTTCTTCCAAAGGCGCTGTGATATATATATTTAATCTCATGTTTGTAGATTTTCTTTTTCTTTAATCCTCACCCGAGGATATGTTTTTATTGATTTGAGAGAGAAACATCAGTGTGAGTGAAAAACATCT